CCAGACAAAATTCACAGAAGTCAACATTATTAGTATTTGTTTATCAGAGATCTAAACATCAAAATCTGATCAATAACTTAATAATGAAATGCCCCTGGTAATTCACTCCATCGTTAAGTTTAATTGGCAGAATTAAGTCTCTGACTGCTGCCTGTGGCACACTAATAGTCTCATTATACAAGAAGACCCCTACTTTCTGGCCCAAATAACTAGGCAAAAATACTTTGATTCTACTAAAAAAAAAAAAAAAAAAAAAAAAATATTGAGGAGCAACATTTTATCCATGTTCAGCTATTGCTTTCAAGTACTGTTCTGATAGTTAGGAGTAACCTAGTAGACCTGTTTTATTAAGGGTATGGCCCTATTGGTGGAATCATGAACTCTCAGACAGGCCTTATAAACAGGTGAAGCAGGGGCGGGTTAAGGGCATCTTCTGGGTCTTTCTGAAGACGGTCAGATTTTCAAGTTTACATTGATGGGTATCTAATTTTTCTGGTCTAAAATAGAGGATGGATCAACAAAGATAATTTGGAAGACGGTCAGAAAATATCTTTGGATCCGCCCCCAGGTTAGGTGTTTGCGAACTCAAGGCTCAGATTTATAAGCACAAATCCCCAAATTAATAACTTGAGACACAAATTAAGTACCCCCAACTTAAAATAAATAGCCACAAGAATAGCCCTATGACACACAGATTTCTCTAACTCTGTGTTCGTTATGACACTCAGACTGCTCTGATGCTGTGTTCTTGTTTCTAATTTTATGTTGGGGTACTTGAATCCGTTGCTCTCTCTGTTAATTTGGGCATTTATGCTCCAAAATCTACGATTTGTGGTAGCATACAGCAATTATTGTTTACGAGGCCTGACAAAGCAGTAGTCTGTTTCACTAAAGAAACTTCAGCTCAAACATTGATCTTTACTTTTAGACAAAAAATTTAGTCTACTTTCACCCACTATAAATCAGTAGACTAGTACTGCAATGAGATGAGATATTGGACTTGTTTTTTAACGGGAATGTAAATGGCTATATCTCTGACTTATTATTACTTTCACTTCTTAAACTAATAGATTTATGTTGAGCTGAAGTTAAATATTTGGACTAATTTAGGAGCAGAGGTTCTTTTGTAAAAAAAATCAACAGCAAACCTATACCTCTTAATGAGCTATTCAGTTACCAGAGAGTCTCAGGTGAAGGCTTGGAAAAAAATTATTCTTGCTATTGATCCGGCACATTGACTTGAATAACCTCTCTTGTTTTATCTTGGGCCTAAAGATTTTCTTCATCCTACCAGAAGAGTTAGTAAATTAACTTCAGAATTGTCAAGAGCCTTTCATGTTCGAGAGCTTTCAGTTTTTTTGTGGAGTCAGTCATTAAAAAAAGTTCTCTCAGAATATGTCCTGTCTTTTGATGCCTGTGCAATAGTTTTCTTGGGGCTGTACAAGGAGCTTGCATTGATTATCACAAGAAAACCTGCAATTGGATGGTATGGTCTTCAGAATTTTCAGTCTGAAAATTTGATAAATGAGAATCTGTTGTGCTCAGAATTTGTATGACGGACACTTTTCATATATAGTGGTACACATACAGTTTGACTAATACTAACATGTGGTTATGCTTTAGAGGGTTTACTCCCTTTTTCAAATCATAAAGTACCAGTCAAAATTAACATGTTTAATTGAAAACTGTTTTTGAAACACCTCTGTTCTCTTGGGCCATCATCTAACAAACTGACTGCAGAATCTTCTAAGCCTTGAAGGGCTCATTCGCACCATTGAGTAAAATACAATATGTTGGGAACAAGAGGAGGTGTGTTAATCTGATTGCATTCAGCAAGAGTCCCCACAGAGTTGGATAGACCCATGTAGAACATTCATTTTTATGAGTACCCATACAGGAGGAATTTACAAGTACTAGTACTAGTATTTGTTGTGCCAAGCAAACATTAAAAGAGCTGGCAAATTGACTGCAATTTTAACGACCTGTGCTGTATTTTATGATATGCCTCGAGAGAGGAATTGTTTTCTTGTTCCGCCATAGCATCTTCCGTGTCATGTTTTATCATGGCACTCTGAATTGTATGGTGAGGGTCCTGAGGACATGCACTGCCACCATACACCATATTAATTCTGTTGACTGAAGATTACTGCCTTTTTAATAGTATTTATGTCCAGAACAAACAGAGAAGCTGATGGCAAGATTTAACATTTCAAGGATGATGGACTCGTAATTATTCTGAACAAAGATGCAAATGGAGCTCAGCATAACTCATTGAACTGAAAGATGCATCTGTTTTATTGATCTCAACTTGATATTGTTGGATGGAAAATTTGTTGCGATCTGTCCTCTGGTTTTGTTCCTGGTTGTCGTAGGTAAGAACTTAGAAATCACACGACTAGTAAGTGAAGTCGTCACATCTTGAATGGAAATGTGGCTGTGATTTTAGACCAGGTGTGAAGTTAGGGTGTAATTCACACAAATTGGAGAAGAAGTGTGACATTTACCTGTAAGAGAGATTTTGATGATGCTCATTTTCCAACCAGTACACCCATGCCAGTCATGTTCTTAATGTGCGGAACGTTTGCACGTACTTCAATCTCTTTTCAACATCTTTAACCTTTCCAATTCAGATGTTATTGAAATGTTTAGCTCTCAGTCTTGGTTTCAAATCCTTAATAGTTACAGATGTATTTTCATTTTAGTTTACTTGAAAGTTGAAGAGCAGTTGCAGGGAGTACTATCGAAAAAAAAGTGAACTTTTTTTTTTTTTTTTTTTTTTTTTTTTTTTTAATAGAGGTTCCCAACTTTGTAAATGTCTTCTAAAGTATTTGATTGCACAGAGAATTTATTTCCAAAAAAGACGGCAATTGTTTTAGAAGTCAGTCTCAGCTATGTGAGTGATGTTTAATGGTCTTGAAGTGACCAAAAACAGATAGCATTCAATTCTACTCTGTGAAATATAACAATTGGTCAAACTTGGGGTGGGATGCCACTTTGTGCAAAAGTTACTATCTATAGGTGCTGGCAGGCATTTTCTGTCACTGGTGAATCTGTTACGATCTATTCCCTGAATGTAGAAAATATCCTTCAAGTTCGAGTCAGGTTTCATGAACGATAATTGCTGTTAGCGATTTGGAGCACAAACACCAAATTAATGACTCAAAATACGATTTCATGGCACAAACTTAAAATTTGTGGTCGACATGAGCATCACATTAAAGAGCACAAACTGTTTAGCCAATTTTATGCAGATTTCTAGCTGTAGACATTCATGTGCTATTTCTTAACCCTGAACTAATTTCATTAGGGCATAATGATACAAAAAACTGCATGTTAAAGCTTTTGCAGATTCCAAGTCAAGAAAGAGTGACATTTTCTTAATTTTTAATCTTTTTTATCTATTAACTTGTCTTTTTCAAAAAATGATGAAAAAATAGCCTTAAAACAAATCAAAGTAATTGTGCTGCTATCATCAAGTATTCATGCAGCATATTAATTCTGGAGTAATGTGATCTCGACAAATTGTGGCATATGCAGATTGTGCAGAATGGGTATTTAATGAGACTAATAACTTACTGTATATAATATAAGATAACAGGACAGAGATGAAAAAAGAAATGCAGCATCTTTACAATATGTTATCAGGGCAGACTGCCACAAGTTTTACAATTCACTATAATGAAATACAGATAATACACCTTTTCATGCAAACTTAGTGGTCCTCCCCCCCCCCCTCCCCTCCAATTTTTCTTTCAGGCACCTTCCCTCCAATGTTAAACTGATCTAACATTTCTTTAAAAACAGGTTTTGCAATTTCTCTGAAACTTTTCCTTCGACTTAACACCAGAATATTTTTATTGCCCCGTGGGAGGTGTTGAGATCGATCACAATGTCCTTGAGTGATGAGAGTCAGCAGAATCAAAGGGAAAAGTCCCCATTCTGGGAGCTCTCATTCAATTACCTGGAAGCACCAAGAGGTAGACATCTTAGATCTTCCTCTCTGGGAGGTGAGATACCAGAGACAGTGAAGGATTGCATTGCATTTAATGTCAGCTATGATTAATCAATGAAAGGAAAAGGGGGGGAAATGTTGTGTTTGGCTTGGGCTTATGGTGAATTTAGTGAATTTTGACCTAGCTGATTCTACCTAGGATACAGTAATTCCTTGATCTTTTCAGTGGGGGAAAATTGTGATTTTACAGATACTGTATTTTTTTATTAAAACATTCTCATTTTTTTTTCAATTAGAATATTCTGGTAGCAACATAATTAAAAAAGCAGGGTACTAGTACTCTATAGTTCAGTTTTATGAGGTAAAAGCACCACATATACTGTATAGAGATATAATAAATTTTTGTGATTATAAAATTATGTATCTGAAAGTTTGATCATTGTTGCCCATTGAAAAGATTGAGTCACTACCATTAAGCCACAAGAGGCCTTTTTGTCTATTTAGATAAAGTAACTATTGGTCTAAAGCAGTCCTTTCTTTTTTTATGAAGCAGGTGCAGCATTAAGTGGTTCGCTTGTAATGTGTAATGGAAACATCACTTGTTACATAAAAGATTAAACATTTTATCAGGGAAGTCCTTGATCTTGTAACCAACTCCTCAAATGCTTCAGGTAAAAGAAGACATTTAGTCTCTTAAGATGAGATTTTTTCCATCTTTACATAAGAGAAAATCAAAAACCTGTTTCAACATACTGCTGATTAATCTTGGCTTATAATCTTGGATAAAATTTTCATCAAATATTTGTGATCAGCTGTGTATGCATGTGTGTGTGTGTGCATGCGTATGTGTGCTGGGGGGGGGGGGACCCAGCATGGCAGGGGCCAATATGGTGCACCCTGGCTATCAGAGATCATGAAAGCTCACCTCATTTATAATGACAAAAAGGTGAATTTCCTGTAATCTGTGAAACTCAGGGTGTCATGTCATGTCATGTCATGTCATGTCAGGACTCTGTAAGAGAATCTCCCAGCAGCAGTGGTATTTTGATTAAATTTCTCGGACTTGCCAGGTATTCTCTGTGCTCTCACTCTCATTACTGACTCAGCTGTGGTACATGTGGGCTGGTTACCTGGAATACCAGTCTGTGTTTTTCTCGGGAATGAGACAGGTCTATATCGGACCAGGCTTAGGATAGTAGGCTGAGGATACATTGTGGTTCATTTCTTGACTTGCCTGCAGTTGTGTATATATAAACAGTGGGAGCTACAAATATGTAATCAGATGGTTACTAGTACATATTCTGGAAATAGGGGTAAGATGATGTTGAAGCATGAAGGATAAGTCAAAGAAAATTTTGTATTGTTCTATGATTCACATCACTTTATGTCTTTTGGGTAATGAGTCACTTCCATGTCTTAGCTATTTGTGGATTTTTGAGGAAGACCTTTTTAAAAGTTTTTTAATGCTATGTAATCATAAACCGCTTGTTCTGTGTGCTACTAGAATTGCCAAATTATTGGGGAAGTGTTTGGTGGAATTTTGATCAAAGATCTTAATAACAAAGCACATAGTATGTGTCAGGTCTCTGAGTTTTATTTTTTCTCTCTTCCCCAAGTTAAGCACAGGTACTAGTAGTTAGGTTTGCTCTACTTAACGTACAAAGGAAGAACAAGACTTTGGGTACTCTGAATATAGTCAGCCCTTAGCAGTCCTATTTATTTGTTGTTGTTGTTGTTTTTATTATTATTATTATTATTATTACAGTTGCAATTATTAAAGATCATTGGCAGTGGTGATACATTTCAATTTATTATTCAGCTAGTTTAGGATTAGGTCTGTTGAACAGAAAGACACTGTCTAGCATGAAATAGTTGACAAGAACGTATGTAATGTGCACCCTGCATGTGTGATTAATAATACATTTGGGATTCTAGTAGTTATATCACGGTTCTCATAATGAGTACATCTGTCAGTAACCAAGTACTGTTGACAATACCAGCAGAAAGCATTCAAAGATGTGCAGAATATCTGTGTATGCCAGAAGAATATGCATGCATGCGGAGGAAAATATACTCTGCAGTTTTTATTTTTGGTGAATATACTCTGCAGTTTTTATAAATATGAATGTCAGTGTTGGAACAAAATGTAATGTGGGGATATTATTTATTTATTTATTTATTTATTTATTTATTTGTGTCATACTTGCACTATTTTACCCAATTTTGTTATAACTCTTCAGTGGAGGTAAAAAAATAAAAAATAAAAGCACTGGAGATTTCTAAGATAAGAACTGTATGTTAATTCTTAGATACATAGTGATAAAGTCGGTCCTTTTGTCCCAAATACTAGATATATTTAAAATTCATTAAAGAGTTTGGAAATATGTTCTTTGGCAGTTATTTGTACTAGGTTTTGTATTAGCCCAGTCTGCAAAGTTAGCCAATGCTCTGAAAAGGTTGACATAAAGATTTTCTGTCAGACTCGTGGAAATTCAAACAGTTGTTTTGGAATAGTTTTTCTTTATCTGTAGATTTCATCTTGAGATTTAGCAAATTTGATTTGAACTGGCAAGTTTTCTGCAGTAAACCAGTCTGAGTGACCAGTTGGCTGAAATTTAATGCCCAGACTGTTTCTCTTTGGGAGAAAGAACAGAGTTTGCTCTTTCGTTCACGTTCTGGGTTGTATTTGAGAGTGTTTCCATTAAGATAAATGTTGAAGCACCATACTGTTACCGCGGGCTGAATTTTCAGTTAACAGGCTAATAAAGACAGGTGAGGCGGTAAGAACGCATGTTTTTTGTATTTATTTTATTTGTCGTAACACCATGAGGTAGGACCATTTACCCCCAGGAAGTAAAGCCATGTTGTGCAATTTTACGAAAACAAATTGATTTTATGTAGAGTTAGAAATGTCTGAAATGAAGGAAATGATATTTTACATCTATTTAATTGCAGTTGTTGCTCTTGAGTGGCAAAATTAGTTATGATATTTCATCAGGTCTATTCTTTGCTTTTTTAAGTTAATCAAAGTACAGATAATTTCATCAGTAAATGAATATTCTGGCTATTGTGATAAAATCAGTATTTATTATCCAAAAGTATCTAGTTTTTTATCCTGTGTTCTGTTGTATCTTGTTTAGATGAAAGTTTTTTTGTTTTTTTTTTGCATGTAATATTTCAAATTGAAGAAGCCATTCAGAATAGATGATCCGAGTACTAGCTGATCCTCCGACTAAATATGGCCGACCCCTCTTCCAAAGTGATGCTGCTAATTCCATGATGGTCACTCTGCCTCCAAACGCCCCATTGTTGCAGGGGCTTAGCAATGAAACCCCGTAGCTGAGATTTAATCTGTTTAATGGTGCGTGTGGAGACAGGTGACCATCAGGAATCAGCAGCATCGCTTTTGAAGAGGGCTCAGCCATATTTAGTCGGCGGATCAGTTAGTACTCAGTTCATCTATTTGAATAGCCCCTAAGAATGTCAAGAGTGATAAACACAGCGACTATTTTTTTTTTACCTCCAGGTGAAAGAGAGGCTATGGGCCGTGGGAGGGCTGCTGGGAACTGGTCCCAAACTTCGTCCTCTCCGCCCCCGGAGTCCGTGTACAAGGTCGGGATCTACGGCTGGCGGAAACGGTGCCTGTACTGTTTTATCCTGGTGCTGCTGGTGCTCATCATAGTCAACCTCTCACTTACAATATGGATACTCAAAGTCATGGACTTTTCTGGGGTAGGTAGAAGTGGGTGATTAATATCATCAGTCAAGAAAAATTCTTGTCTGTCTGTCTGTCTGTCCGTCTCCTTGTCTGTCCATCTTCCTGTGTGGATTTTTTTTTTATCTCTTATATTTGTCTGATTTTCTGTCTGTCTTTTATGTCCATCAGTTATTGAGCCCATCATTCAATTAGTTGGTGCATGTTTCATTTCAGGCTCGTTCTGTGACACTTATCCCCCAACAATGGACATATTTATCTGCACACTTACTGTATTTCTTAATATACTTTTAATTTAAAGGCTCTGCTTCAGACACATTGTCAGCTAGACAGTGTTTTCCTCTTCTTGGAAATATTTATTAGGCTCCATTAGTGCTGATTTACACAGTAAGTCTAGATAATATTTTTTCCCCCATTTCTTGATGAGCTTCAGAGATATTTGAGATATTTTGAACCATCTTTGTTATTTGAATTTCATTACATGCATATGCCATGCAAGTTTGTTCTTAAAATCATTCAACAAATCTGTGATGCAGTAAAAAGATAACGTAATTGTCAGAACCCTGGGAACAAAATATTGATGAGAAATAAATCTTTCTGTAGTTAAAAAGGTGCCTTGGTGCTAGCGGGAATGAGGTCACAGTACCTGGGGAGAAGGTGATGGGGGTGTTCAGACAGGGTAAAACTGAAATGGAATGGGGAGAAGGTGATGGGGGTGTTCAGACAGGGTAAAATCTGAAATGGAATGGGGAGAAGGTGAGGGGGTGTTCAGACGGGGTAAAATCTGAAACAGAATAGGGAGAAGGTGATGGGGGTGTTCAGATCGGGTAAAATCTGAAATGGAATGGGGAGAAGGTGATGGGGGTGTTCAGACGAGGTAAAATCTGAAACGGAAATGGTGTTATGTAGCAAGGATGACTTATTAGTAAACTGATATAATAGGAATGTCACATGAGCAGTGGGATTGAGACGAAATTTAATTACTGTGCCCCTGCAGGGACGACGCTTGGGGAGGCATGAAAGAGGCAAAGAGACCATTACAGGATTAAGCGGTCTTCCTTTCATGTAGGTCCACCATATTTAGGCCGTGGACCAGTTAGCACTTGGATGTTCTCATTCTGAATGGCCCTATGGAGGACATTCACAGGGAAAGGAATTTGACCCTTATTGCTAAAAGTTAACCACACCTCAGAAGGATTCTCCTTAAATTTTTAGTGTCATGTCACCGCACAGTGCCCATAGCATTGTTTTAAGTTGATCCCCATTATCATTCTTCTTCATCTTATTATTATTATTATTATCTGTGTGTGTGTGTGTGTGTGTGTGTGTGTGTGTGTGGTATACCCAAAACAAATATTACCATTATCCAGTATTATTGTGCCACGGGATGCTCACTTTCTAGCAGTAAGGAAGTTCTGTTTGTCAAAAAGTAATTTCAATCTGATGAAAGATTCACTCTTTGTATACGTATTTGCTTCTTTCAAACTGATATTTTGCATTTGTGCATGTGGTAACAATATCTGTTGTAAATTGATCTGCAATGCTACATAATATGATGCAGGATGCCACATTTGATAGAAATAAAGAAATAACTTGATGTTAAAGGCTAAAGGTAATAGAATTGCATGCGCTGCCCAAATGGGTTATTTTCTTTAGTCTGCAACATTCAGTTTGATTTAAAATAAAAGATTAAGTATCATTGTCAGCTTTTTTTAACTGTAATCTGACATAAATTTACAAGGGGAAAGTGAAAACACCGTGCTTTGCTTGCTGGGTTTTATAATCAGTCTTTCATTCATATACTAGTAGTTTATTTTTTAGGGGTGAAGGTTGTTAGAAACAATCCTATCAGCTTTTAGTTTCTAACAGGCACAATATACCAATATGATGACTATTACAGCATGTTTTTGTACTCAGTAGACCATTACAGTGTGTTTTTTTAAATGTGATTGACAGAAACAAGTAGACATTCTTGGGAAATAGATACAGAAATTACTTATAGCTTAGACTCCTTGGAAGACATACTTTGAACAGCTGCTACAAGTAACAAAGATACCACTTTCCTGGAGTGAACTCATCAGCAATGAGCTCTGTGAATTCTTGGAAACCAGATGCACAAAGAACCATGTTAATTTGCACATCAGGAGGTATTTGTATTGACATTGATACATGTCTGTTCATTTTGCTCTGCTAGTCCTGCTTGATCGTGACAGACCAGGGGCCTTGTGGGGGGCTTTGTGAGGGGCCCAGTCGGGGGCTCTGTGAGGGATTCTGTCGGCACAGCAATTATTTCAAATGATTAAGAAAATGATCCTTGTTCTATATTTATTCATTTGTTTCTAGGCAGGTAGGATTGATGTAAATAGTTGTAGCATTGTTTTTTTTTGTTTGTTTGTTTGTTTGTTTGTTTGTTTGTTTGTTTGTTTTCATCCACCTAGGCTTTGTATTTTGCAACAATGAAGTTGCAAGAATAAAGTAATTCTTTCTTCAATCAACAGCTTAAGATTGAAATAGTTTACCACCAATATTTCAATGTCTACCAGAGCATCTTCATCAGGGAATGAGGCTGTCTAGGTGAATAGCCTCTATTCAGGAGATATACTTGAAGAAAAAAAACACTTTATTCTTATAAAATAACACAGCTGATGAAATTCTTCTCTGAATGAAGATGCAATTATTTTTTCCACCGATGTCTGCAACAGGCAGTGAAATTTTCCTCTAAAATTTTTTTAAATTAAAGGCAATAAAGTAAAAGATAAATGAGATCAGCCAGCATTCTAAGTTAATTGAATAATTGAATTTAGTGAGGTTATTGATTTCTTTTTGAACAACCTGACTCTTTCTCCAATTTTAGAAAAAAACTCTGCTACATTTTAAATATTATGGTGTATAAGCTGGGGTTATTTATAAAGGCAATCAAGAAAGGAGAGTAACTTAAAATTAATGATACTCACCGTCACCTCTTGATAAGCTGTCTCTCTGGTTTATTACAGAGAGCCCCAAAAGAATTAAATTAAATTCCATCTAGTATCAAACAGTGCAGGTTGAGCCACTCACATTGGGCTGTTTGATTTAACTTTCTGTAGATTTATTATTCGGAAGATGTATCGAGACCTTTTATCTGGTTGATAGATATTAGCTTGTTACACTCTACCACGTTTATTCCCAGGGCTCCTTTATTCCACAGGTCAATATTGGAAGTGAAGGTTTTTGATATCTTGGTTCCCTTATGAAGAGAGAGCAAGTAGTTGACTTTGTGGTTGAAACTAGACAACAAAGTGAGGAAGAGAGACTGATTTTAAAGTGTGGTTAATGTGAAATAAAGCAAAGCGATGTTAGGGTTGTATTCTTTTTTTTTTTAATTGTGCCATAAGCAAAAAAAAAAAAAAAAAAACAAGGACTAATAACTCTATTAACATTATAATTGCTTTCCAACCATGTGCCATATTATTACCTCTTCCAAGATGGATATATGTTTTTTCTCTTTTTGGTTTGTTAGGTAATAGCCCAACACAAAAATTTGTGGACAGCTTATGATTTTTTTAAAGTTCAGGATAGGTAAGAAATTAGCTAACTTCATTTCAGTTAGATTTTGGTGATGATCCATTAATTAATTAATCTATCAGTTAATAAAAAGATAATTGAGCTGCTTGGGGGCAGTCTGAGCTCTTTGAGTGCTTCTATAGTTTACTATGAAAACACCCAAAACCACCAAAAAAAAAAAAAGGAAGGCCATTGATAAAAATTGTGAAGATTACTAAGTTTTTTATCTTTGAAGGTAGACAAACACAGCAAGTCAAAAAGGATGAAAAGAATCCACCAGGAAAGGTCTCAAATACTCTTCAGTGGTCTGTGCAAATTGTAGTTGATGTGTTCAAAAGTTCAAAGCTGTTATGTTACTAGGAATAGCAGCTAAGGTAGTGTGGCCTATTGATCAGGTGTCTGTTATTGACTCGGAAGGCCAGGAAAGCCTCCCTGTATCTACATGATATGGTAAAGATCTTAGGCTTGGAGTGGCAATTCAATTTCAGGGAAAAAACATTATGAAGGCTTTGTTTTTCCTATCTGCTATTACCTTAGTGTCGTATATACTATTTGGCAATTCAATTTCAGTGGAAAGGCATTATAAAGCCTTTACTCTTCGTATCAGCTATTACCTTAGTGCCATATATGGATAAACTTGCTGAAATTTTTTTTTCACATCATTTTTTGTATAAAGGGTGGGTATTTTTTTTTTCTCTGTTCGTTTTGTTTCATATGCCATTCTCAATCAATCAATACTGAAAATCTGCCACTCAGAAAGTTATAGAACAGAATAAACTCCATGGATATGAAATGGTCCCTTGGGTATGAATAATAGCTTTTCCGTATGTCACTGTGACAAGAATTCTATAGCAAGTGACATTGTTTAGCCAGTAGAAGTAGTGTATTCCCCGTGGACACGAAATATTGCTTATTCCTGTATCAGCGATGCACGCTAAGTTAGTAAATTGACAGCACTAGTTATGGTTGTGCTGTATTATTATTGGCTGCTGGTTTTTGAAAGGCAAGCACGCAAACGACTGAGATATTCAGTAATATTGTGGTGTGTTCAAATGCAGATTTAAACCTGGACTGGTTTTTGTTGTGCTACATCACCAATCAGATCAGTTTTTTAATATCAGGGCCCTGTAACTGGAAGGCATCGTGCATTGCGACCGAGCGCAAGCGTCTCGATTGTATAACTCGGGATTTACTCGCCCCATATAGGCCTTCATAGCCTCGATTTAAAAGGTGATTCGCAATTTGCGATGGTTTCCAGTTACGGAGCCCAGGAGGTTACTGTGGACCTCTTTCTACAGCATTGCACAGCAATGCATTTTAAATTTATTTGGTACAAGAACAGTTTTACATTGACTGTGACCTACGAGTGTATTCTATTACTATGCAAAGTGCAGTGATAAATATAACAATCAAAAAAAATAGGTTAACTGTATAACAATCACAGGTGACTATGTGGTGTATCGCAGGAAGTCAAATTTACCCCCTCTAACAAGCCCCAATGTACTGTACCAATAAAAAGTAATTGGTTCACTAATCTTGCTAATTTTTTTTATTTTTTTTTTTTTTTTGGGGGGGGGGGGATAATGAAGGTGACTATCTTATTTTAAAATATTAAAATAGCCTGGCTTTTACATCGTCAATCTCTTACACTGGAGTGCACAGAACACTATAGCTACTTCCTGATGTGCTAAGGGCCTTACTCTGATCCTCTGATGTACCGCGCTTTGTGGCACTCTGGGAATACTGTTAAAATTAATGGAACTGGATGCTTCAAGAGGATTAACATGCCTTTAGAGAATATAAGTCTGATTAAACATCTCATCCTGATGATTTCACCCTGAAGCTCTGCTTGAGTTACTGTCAACAAGAAAAGCATGCTGTAAATAGAAGTTAATTTTATTGGGATAATCACTCCATCTTTTCAATGGGGGTAAATTGTGAATCTTACAGATATTGTATTTTTTAAAGTCATATTATCTCTTAAAATTAGGACTTTCCTACTGAGTGGTAATAACAGAAACATAGGTTGGAAAGCAATTATAATGTATATACGACACTAAGGTAATAGCAGGTCTGTACTATGCAGTAAAAGCCACATAAAATGCCACATAGAAATATAATTTTTGTGATTTTGAAATTATGTATTTGAAAGTTTGATAATTTTTTCTTATTGAAACGGTCAAATCATTACTGTTATTTCTGATGCTAGGGGCAGTAGAGGCCTTTCTTTCAGCAAAGCAAGTTGTCTGATTGTTACTGTGGTCAAATGAGTATATATACATTATGTTGTTGTTCACCACTGAAAAACATGAGAGAATGATGGTAGCTTTTGGTGCAAAAAATAATATGACCAATACGACAATAGCAGACTGTATACCATAGCCAGTTTATTCTTTTTTTTTTTTTTTTTTTTTACTGTAAAGTATCAGATTGTCTTTCTCTAAGATCTATGAATATTGAGAAGTTGCTTCACTTTGCCGTGGGCTTAGTAAAAGAATGCGCATGGCTATTTATATTGATTTGTCTAAAAACATTTAAAGAAGAAGCCTAGATTAAGAATAATTTAAATGAATGTCCTGTCACTTGGTAATGGGTTTGTCGTTATAGATGCTTCAGATGTTGAAACATGAAATAGTATTTTGTGTATCAGTAAACAGTGGCCAACAAGAAGCATCCATGTTCCACATTCTTGTTTATTTTTAAAAAATATTTTTAATAGTTGATATATTTCATTTTTAGATATTATTCTTTTGTTTATAACATAGAAACCTATAAATTGAAATATTTGGAGAACAAAAGTATAAAATTATGGACTTAAGTTTTAGTCTGTTTGTTATTTTGCAAACCTTACAAAAGTTATATCAAAAGATACGTAATTCTTTTATTTATTTAGATATGTTCTTTGAGTCATCATTTTTATGTGCATAATCCAGCTGACGATATATATCAAGAAAGCATCAATGCCTCTCAGATTTTAGAATTATGTAGCAACATTGGTTACTATGTGCATTAAAATTTTAATAGGTATTCTAATTATTTTTTCAGGCAGGAATGGGGAAACTGAGAATCACAAACCAGGGTATCCGTGTGGAGGGACACTCAGAATTTCTAGCACCCCTTTATGCAGCACAAATAAAGTCAAATACAGTCAGTATACATGAATTTTTCTTTATATTACCTATTATAGCTATCTCATGCACATGTTCTTAATTTCCTTCATTCACATATAAAGACTGATTGTTGGTGAAGGATCTTGTCAGCACAGTCAAAGAACCTTTTTTTCATGTAAATTATTTAAACCAAAAATAAACCAAAGTATGATGGTTGAATTTTGTGCCTTATGAAAAAAAATTAATAAAATTTCCACTTGATATAGCTCTTTTTTTTTTCATTTCTTCTGCAGGACAAAGCTTTATTCCTTGAATCATCCAAAAATGTAACCATCCACACTAGAAATGAAGCAGGCAGCATTACAAACAGACTGTACATAGGTTGGTGAATACTGAGAGGAAAATGATTTTTTTTTTTTTTTGAATGGGTTATCCACTTTTTTAGGTCATTTAATATCAAAGCCTTTAACTGTGGAAAAACAATAATTATGATTCAGAAATAAATTCTCTTTAAACTTTCAGTTTTTGCAAGTGTCATTTTATCTTCAAAGATTATAACTTTTTTTTGTCTTAAATGGCTCTTCAGTAATAAAGAAAAGGATAGTAAAATTTACAAGGTGTTACCTTCATATAAACTGATCATCTCTGTGGTTTTGTCTCCATGTAGGTTCCAAGGAAGTGGAGAGTTACTGTGATAGTTTTGAAGTGGTCAACTCTGCTGGAGAGCAGCTGTTCTATGTGGATGGGACACAGGTCACCATAGGACCAGAAAAACTCCACATTGCAGGTAGGTTTTCCCTTATCCAGCTAATATTTGACCATTTTCCAGTTATCCATTATCTAGCTATCCCATATCCAGATATTCCTTATTTAGTTATCCATTATCCAATTATCCCTTATCCAACTGTACCCTATCTAGTTATTCATCATCCATTTATCCTTAAACCAGCTATCCCTTTTTCAATAATCCATTATTCATAGAGCAGACACCTTTAATCCCATTGTTGATAACTTTGATATGGCATTCTTCTTGTATTTGTGTCAGTAGATTATCTTTGTTTTCAGGCATTGTTTTATTATTACTAACACCATAAATAAGACACCTAAGGATGTTGAGAAATGTAAAATATTGGGAAATTTTAACTTACACAGTAACTTAAATAAACTGCCCTGCATTTGTGAAATGAGAATAGCTGTCCAATATGAAAGGTGGAGTAGAATGTGGTAGTTGTGACATCTGAGATGTGAGTGGAGCAGATTGTGTTAGTTGTGAATTTACTCTTTAGGATAATAATAATAATAATAATATATTTATTTCAAGTCTAAAATCCATAAAATGTTCAATAGACTGTACAACATAAAATACAAAGAAGTTTATAGATAAAAATGGTTAAGATATATTTTATATAAATAAGAGCTAAACTAACTTAATTGTAATAAACAGTAATTAAAAGTAAAAAATCCAAGGTTTCTTTAAAATTATAAAATTTAAGATTCATGAATAAAATGTCTTAAAAATATGAGTTTTTAATTCCTTTTTAAAAGATTCTTGTGATTCTATTTGTCTAATAAAAATTGGCAACTTATTCCACTCTACTGGTGCAGCTACACAAAATGATATGTCACCATATGATTTTAACCTTGATTTTGGAACTTTCAGTAAAAGTTTGTCACCAGACCTCAGGGATCTTTGAGGGCTATAATGTTTGACTAAATCAGTTATATATGGTGGAGCTAGATTATAAAAAGCAGCATGTGTAAAAACTAAAACCTTAAATAAAATTCTGGCCCTAACTGGTAACCAGTGCAGATGCTTTAAAATTGGAGTGATATGGCAATCCCTAGGCTGTAGCATTAAAAGCCGTGCTGATATATTCTGGATGCGTTGTAATCTTTTGATCTTATCATCTGGACATCCATATAATATAGAATTGCAATAGTCTAGCCTGGAAGTTACCAATGAGTGTATAACAGTAGCAGCAGCAGATTGATTCAGATGTTTCCTTATGGTACCAATATTCCGAATGTTGAATAAACAAGACCTTGTGATGTTGGAGATCTGTTTGTCCATTGAAAGTGTAGAATCAAAGTATACTCCTAAATTTTTTACATGGGGGGAGGAAAATGCCATACTAGCTCCAATTTTAAGTTGCAAGTTATGAGCAAGGCCCTTGTTGTATTCCCAGGATCATTCCCAGACCCTATCATACTAACTGTGGATTGATCAATCTCCAAAGGGATTCTCACTAAATTGCAATCAACTTTACTGGCATCCATACTGATGCTGTTAGTGGGTAATTCACTATTGTTTAGCAGCTTCAGTAGGCATACCAGACATGGAAGCCGCTTAAGCTGAAAGCAATTTAGCGAGAAACCCCTTGGAGATGGATCGATCCTGTTAGATCGATCTAGGTATGAGAACCCAGTCTTAACTCCTTTACTTGTTTGGCTATTATGATAATTTTAAATTCATGCAATATATTGTGGACACAATAAATTGTGTTTTAGAACTAAATAGAATTAACAGAACATGTAAATTGAGGAAAAAGTAGTGTACTGATGACAAAGCTCATTTGTAGATGCACTTGGAGAGTCTTCTTTTTTTACTGAAACCATAAAAAGTAATACTTTAAACATTTTTGTCATTTACTGTTGTACATAATCAGATGTGGAAATGTTATAATTGAAATAATTTTGAGATTTTTATTCCAATCACTTTGATCACAGGTAAAGAGGGCACTGTCTTCCAGGGATCTATACAAACAGGTGCTGTACGTTCCAACATCTCCAAATCTCTAACGTAAGTAACTTTTTAAATTAAGAAATTCATGTACAGAATAAATGTTAGAAAGATGAACAAACAATAGTCTAAGAGTGACTCTTAATAATTTGTAACGTTCAAGCATAAATTGCACTATTTATTTTTTATGTTGCAGAAACTGGTTAGAGTAAATAAATTAATAAAGAGAAACTTTTTTTGTGGTAGAGGGGTATTAGTAAACCCCCCCCCCCCCCCCTCCCTTTCCCTTAAAATATACAAACCATTCATTCGGATATAAATATGTATGCTGTATGCTTTCAGGTTGGAATCTCCAACCAGAGAATTAAAACTTCAGGGTCCCCAGGGTATTACTCTGTCCTCACTGGTAGGAGATGTTACTATGACAACTCTACAAGATGTTGTTCTCCACTCCACGGGTCAAGCAGTAAGTGGACACGCAAAGCTTAGTGTGCATTCAGACAAGGACTGTCTTAGGGACCATTCAGAATAGATGATCCGAGTACTAACTGATCCGCCAACTAAACATGGCCGATCCCACTTCAGAAGCAATGCTGCTGATTTCCGATGGTCTCCCCCCCCCCCCTCCCCTCCACACGCGCCATTGAATGGATTAAATCTCGGCTCCAAGGTTTAATTGCTAGGCCCCTGGATCAATGACGCATGGGGAGACTATCATGGAATTAGTGGCATCACTTTTGAAGTTGGCCATATTTAGTACTCGGATCATCTATTCTGAATGGCCCCTTAGACTGAAATTAGGTCTTACTTAGGTCACCAGGTGGCAGGTTCACAAAAACACTAAGGAATATGAATAACTTCTTTGCTAATCACCCAAGTTCGTAAGAACTGATGAATTAATGTAACAGTGCAAAACTTACTGAATTTATCTTCATCTGGAAAACATCAAACATTTTCGATTCATCTGAAGTAATAAGTAAATGAAAAAGTGCTTGTTTTGGAAGGACTTTTATTAGTATAATTACATATTACTTGTGCTGTTGTGAAGTATTATCAATTTCATGGGAGTAATTTTATTACATAGTCACCATGTGTAATTCTCATTTAAAAATATGATTATTATTTTTTTTTTAATATCTTCAGTATTACCATTATATTCTGTTCTTTATGCAATATTTTCCAGATAAGACTAAATTCCCAGAACATTCACATGAAGAACTTACAGGTCAGCTCTCCAGTGGGATCAGGCCGTGCCTACCCCGAGGTGTACCAGCTGTGCGTGTGTGGGAACAATGGCCGCCTGTTCCTGTCAGAGCCTACGGGGGAATGTCAGGCAACTGCAGATGTATGCACGTAGCATATGCTTCATCTTTACGAACAGTGGTAGATGCATGTGCACTGCATGTTTGAGGTATATGGAGAGTTGCAGATCGATGTCCACAGCATATATTTGATATATACGGAGCTGCATATGTAAGTGCACAGCATATGCTTGAAATATACAGGGAGCTGCAGATGCATGTGCACAGCATGTGCTTCATCTTTCTTCAATACCACGGAACAACCAGTACGTAGTAATGAAAAGTATTTGGGGCATACTGCTGTTGTCCCATGGACATTTATGCAGCTTTAATGGAAAGTTCTAGCAGGAAATAATTGTCATAAAAACAGTATTGTCAACTCTGCGCTGTTCACAATGTGAAGATCTATTATTATTGGATGATTTAAGTGATGGATGCTGGCAGGACTGCTGAGGGGGATGAAATAACACTGCTGTGGCCTGTCGCACAAGAGAACGTTAGCCTGGAATTTGGTCTTAACTTTAAGATCTAAATTTTAGATACACAAATTGGTAGTCATACAGTTGATGAAAAAGTTGCAGCAGTTTTATATATTATATATATTATAGAAGCCTTGTCGTATGATTCATGCCAATACTTATTTTACTTAAGTGGAGTCCTTGGCATTTCTCCTGAACTGAAGGAGACCAAAGTTTTGGTCGAAAAGTTTAGACCAAGTCTTTTGTTTAGAAACAGTTTTGTTTAGAATCAGATACTCTAAAGATCAAGAAGAGTGGATGCTGAAACATGGAACACTTCTTATTACTGAATGTGTTGAATTTGCAGAGCTCTTGACAAACATGGGAAATATGTAATGTTTATTTCATTTGAAGATTGCCAGTTTTGTTTTTATTTTTAGGGAAACTGAATGAGGAAAAATTTTCCAATAGTTCAAAGCCAATTCTGAAAAGATGGCAGATCTTTTGATTTTTTGAATTTTTTTTTTTTTTTTTTTTTAGAAATGGAGGGGTCATGCATTTATGGCAGTTAAGTGGAAATATTCATGGTCACATGACTAGAATCATGATGGTAATATTTCTAATAAAATATGTGTCATTGCAGGCCCGTAGCCAGGGGGGTTCGGGGGTTCGAAAGAACCGCCCTTTTTGCTGGGAAAAGGTCCACTTTGGATAAAATTTGATCTAGGTACATGAAGTTTTCATGGGAAAAGGTCCACTTTTTCAGAAAATG